AACATTTAGTCACGAAATCGTGTTTCCACGTAAGTAATCTTGGCGAATATAATGCAAATATACTTTAAAAAAAGTCAATATGGTATTTTTTTATTATTTTTTAAGGAATAGCGTATTTCAGAAATAAATATTTACCAGCAAATTATACGAATATTTGCGTATAACTCGACTTAAGTCGCTTTATCAACGCATCATGTGATTTTCCTACGTCTTTTGTGCAGAGAGGGTGATTAAAAAGCAACTCCCTATTTTATGTATGATGAACTCTCCCGTCTAACTATAATTTTTACAAGAAGGGTGAGTCTATCATACATAAAATCGGGAGTTACTTTTTAATCACCCTTTATATATTCGTGGTAATTCTTCGGAGTATTTACTTTTGAATCCCCGTGGGCACCTCGAGGAGGTGTAATGGTCTGCAAGCTTGTCTCGCTAGAACAATTACGACCGAGTAGTGAGTTCGATCCACACTGGGTGCCCCACATTCGGACTTGTGCCACATCTAAGCTACGCTTGGAAAATCACTTTTGAATTCCCGCTGAGTCAGGTTGTGACACAAGGTCGATTTGTTTTAACGTTGGAACACGAGTGTGTCCACTCGTGCCACTGGTCAAAACTGTTCTTAGTTGGTCATAGCTTGTCTAAGCTAGTCATAGCCAGTCACACCACCGCTACTGAACAGATGCTAACAGAACAAGTGTGATGACAGCCATGGCACGGAATAGATACTATAACAGCAGTATCTCCTTCGACTGGAATAACCTATCCTCTCAACAAAATGATTGCCTAAGCATAGCTCAGATGTGGCACAAGGCCGAAAGTGTGGGGCACTCAGTGATGATAGAAATCCCTACTCAGTTGTAATTGATATCGTAAAGAGGAAGCACGGTGGATATATATTGTGACTATATATATATATATATATATATATATATATATATATATATATATATATATATTTCTACAGAGTTTGTCTATATTTCTGAGATGAGGTATTATGTACAGTATTTACAATAGTCCGACTAATGTAAATCCATCAAACATGGCACGTGGAATTAGAACAGTCTACCCCAGCGATCGAAATAAAGGGTTCAGTTCGAAATTCCAACCACCTGAAGAAGGCCGGAGCGTACAACGGCCGAAACGTTGTGACAAATATGGCGACAAAGATGAGGACAATAGTCCGACTAATGTAAATACTATATATATTTCTAATGAATTATTTTTAATCCGACAATTTTTTTAATACTTCAATCGGTATTATAGTGGACACATCGTGTTTGAAATTTATTAAAAAGCGTCTATTACGTCTATCGATTTGCACATTCGAAAAATCCTAATAAAAAGAAAAATGTGTCCCCCGGTAAGGAAGAGACCTACATCCCTCTTTGTAGTTTTTCACTCTTAGTACACACTCTAATTTTGTGACAATCTGTCAGTAAAATTTATCTACTGATAACAATAAATGTAGCCAATACAAACCATATGCGTTGTGCTATTTATTAGTACAAGAAAAAAAGCTCTCTCATGGGAAAAAGACGGTAATAAAAGGAGACAGTTTCTCTTTAGTGTATTCGCCTGAAGACAGCCATGGAGACTAACGCAGCAACAAAACCGATGTGGTCTAGCATGGGACAACCGGAATAAGATTTCGAGCAATATATTATGCCGTTACAATGTCGCATAAGAATGAAGGCATTTTGTACGCAGGGAAGAATGAACATACATAAAGAAAAATAAAAGGTATTATAATCAATAGAGTATTATAAAAATTTCAAAAGTGGGCTTTCGTTTGCACATCTGCCTGCTTTCAGATCGTTCCATTCGTCGACCTCTTGCCTGTGTCAGTCTCAATATTGTCTTTTGGATATTTCCCTGTAGGAAGCACCGACTAATCTATAACCAAGCATCGAGATATGACATTCAGAAATTAATCAGCAAAGATGTCGGTTGGCTTTCTCTCCGAGGTGATCATTAAATCCTGTCGCTGTCAGACGTTTTTAGATATATGCGCTTCAAATGATAAAGTGCCTTTGTTGCAGGCTTTACTTGGCTCTAAAGAAAATTGGTCTTTTTCTCTCACGTAAATTCTTTTCTTTTTTTTTCTGTTCTTCCAAGAAAATATCTTTTCTTCACATGCTCTGAACTAAGCCGACACGCTGCAAGTCAATATGGCGAAGAGAAGATCATGTTGCACCAAACCATCTGTAATTGTTAGTATAGTCTGTTTTGAAAATAAGCGTGTCAGCAATTGAACACATTACGGATGGCACAAGTGGTGACCCAATTAGCTTTTGAGCTATGAGGACGAACACAATTCTTCATGAATTAATTCCTGACCAATGACAATACCTTTCATTATGATTTTCATGCATTTGTATAATAAAAGGATTAGAAACGCGTTTCCCTATTACATGCAAGTCGACATCACACAGTAATGCTCGTATTATTTCCTGACCATTGACAATACCATTAACCATTCTATACTAAGTAAAATTTCAGACTTTAAACGCAGACATTAGAAATACAGACCTGAAATAGATTTTAGAAGGAACCAGAGGCCCAATCCTAAATCGGAAACAAGGAATAAAACTTCTACTCCTGTTTTTACGCATATCACCCCAAGCAAGGCGGCGGGAGTGCCACTAGCACGCAAGGGGTTACAGAGAGTGAGAGCTGTCACTGCCGTCAAATGCTGGGACCCTCGGTCCACCCAACAATCCTCTCAGGTCAGCTGACAATCCCTGTCTAACCCCATCTTCCTCCCCCACTACTCTATCTGATTCATAGTCCGACATATTTAAAGAGAAAGACAATCTAAGCAGCAACAATCGAGATTGGAAAATCAAACAAAGTGTCCTACCTGACAGACGATTTTCCTCTCGTTCCTCTCAGGTTCCGGGTCGTTGCACTAGAGTCTCTGGAACCGTATGGCCACAGCCACACAAAGTCCTTTGGTTCCTACTCTAGTTTGTTTCGCTTTCAAGGCGGCGGAGTGCCACTAGCACGCAAGGGGTTACAGAGCGTGAGAGCAAGTATAAAGAAGGGTGTTTGAGGAAAGCTGTGGCCTTGTTAGGGGCCAGAAATGAAGACACAACGAGGGGAATAGTGTTATACAAACATATTAACAGAAACACTAATACAAACATATACAGACTAGAGTGTTACAGCAAGAATGTTCGGTCCGACTGTCAGAGCTGACTGCTGTAAACTTCTCTCTCCAAAAGGCAGTACCTGCTCCTATTTATAGCTGGGAAAGTCCATGCGTGCGTGGGTAAACTACCATAAAAACGTATAAAGAGAAAGACAGGGGACAAGATCAAGGCATCAGAAGATGTCGATTGACATTACATTTGAATATTTGAAGATTTTAGCTTTCAGGGAAGCAAGTAAGAGGAAGGGAATTCCGCTGTTGAGAAGTGCGCGATAAGAAGCTGTTGGAGCAGAAGTGACGGCTATATTTAAGTTGCCATAAAAATATTTGTAGAAAAGACAGAGGGAAGCATGTCTGTGAGAAAGTGACTTTGGAAGAGAGTAGTGTATTTTTTTTTTTTTTTTTGCTTTCCTGTTTAGGATTGGTTTTTTGGTCCCTTCTAAAATCTGCTTCAACGCTTTACTTCTAACCTCTCCGCCTAAACTCTGAAATTGTATTTATTACTTAATTCTTTTCTTTTTTTTCCTCAATAGGAGTAGATAGGTTTGGACATCATCCATGTCACCACCCTCCCCAGTCTTTTGAACAGGAGTAGTGGTTTATCCCTTGTTTCTTTATTAAAATTGGACTTCCTGTTTCCTCTAAAGTCTTCTCGTTCGTTTTCGTCCAATTGCGTCTTAGTGGCATTATTGCCTTACTTGGGGTGAATTGATTAAAAAAAAGAACATTAGTATTTCTATAATAACATAATAATCAAAATTACTCAGTAATACCTACGCCTACGATCAAATCAGGCTGAAATCCGCCCACCTTCTAGTTCGATAAGCAGCGTCGCGTCCGACAGTACTTAGATGCCGGACCGCTTGGTGAATACAAAGGGTTTGATAATCCGTAAGAAAAAAGCAATCAGTCATTAATGCTTGCATTTTTCCCTGGTGAACAACAATACTTTTCTGTCTGATTTTGGTGTATTTCTGTCATATGAATTAAAATATATAACTTACAGTATAATTACTTTAAAGCCCACCAACCACGTATTCTGCTTATAGAGACATGGCTGGTAGGACTTAAGGTAAACAGATTTCCAAAATTTCAAAATTAGCCTCGTTGAGTACTGAAAACATGTATTGCATATAAGACAGGGCGCATTACGCTTTTTTTAAAAAATCAAATGTGCAAATATCTTCGAACTTGTTGTATCCAGGCGCCTATGCAAAATGTTTTCCTTGTCCTTGTAAATAAGTGGTAAGTGTTGGATAATCTACGCTTCGTATCTTTTAGCCATTCTACCTACATGGTCAGTATTGAACTGACATTTAAATTGGTAAATTACAGTTCTGTGCACACTGCTAACGAAGGGGTCATGTTTACACTGTAACAGCAGCAAGAAAATTCACGCGACCAAGCTGAAATTTCGACCACACGACTACAATCGTACCAAATATAAACACGCATGAAGAGAAGGCAGAGTGACTAACCTGAGGACATCTTATGGCGAAAGTAGGGGTCATTTTTTACTTATATTAGTAATTATTGCCTTTATGCCTGACCACTAAAAATGCATTAGTGGACACATTTACCGAGTCCTATGCCTGTTCTTCCTGTTGCAGTCGGAGTCGTTGTTCTGAAATGGACGTCAGGACATCTGCTTAATATTAATTCAGGACTAAAAGCACGCCAGATCATTTTATTTGCTATATTCATATTTTTGAACGCATATATACATACCACACACAAGTATTCTCATATATATATATATATATATATATATATATATATATATATATATATATATATATATATATATATATATATATATAAAAAATAGATAGATAGATATGAAAAACTAAGAAAAGAAAGCAACAGAGATAGATAAATAAATATGAGAAGAGTGAGAGATTAAATGGGGAAATAAGTATGAACAAAATAAGATAGATAGATAGATAGATAGATAGATAGATAGATAGAAAGAAAAAGATAGATAGATAGATAGATAGATAGATAGATAGATAGATAGAAAGAAAGAAAGAAAGAAAGATAGATAGATAGATAGATAGATAGATATGAAAGGACACAGAGAAAGAAAGACAGAGGCAAAGAGAGAGAGAGAGAGAGAGAGAGAGTGGTTTAGATAGACATATAAATACAAAAGAAGTAAGAGTAAACGGAAATAGGAGTAAATAGATAGATATAAACAGATTGAGATAGATAGATGAATAAAAAGACTACAATACATAGATAAACATACTACATGTAGATAGATAGATAGATAGATAGATAGATAGATAGATAGATAGATAGATATGAAAGGAGGGAAAGAAAGACACAAGCAAAGATAGAGATAGAAAGTGACTGAGATAGACATAAATAAAAAAAGAAGATTAAGCAGGGAAATAGATAGATAGATAGATAGATAGATAGATAGAACAGAATGAGATAGATAGATAGACAGACAGACAGATAGATAGATACATGAATAAAAAGACTACGATACGTATATAGATAAACAGACTAAAGTAGATAGATAAAAAACTACAATAGATAGGTACATAAGTAGATATATGGATAGATAGATAGATAGATAGGTACATAAGTAGATAGATGGATAGATAGATAGATAGATAGATAGATAGATAGATAGATAGATAGATAGATAGATAGGTATAGATAGATAGATAGATAGATAGATAGATACATAAGTAGATAGATAGATAGATAGATAGATAGATAGATAGATAGATAGGTATATAAGTAGATAGATAGATAGATAGATAGATAGATAGATAGGTACATAAGTAGATAGATGGATAGATAGATAGATAGATAGATAGGTACATAAGTAGATAGATAGATAGATAGATAGATAGATAGATAGATAGATAGATAGGTAGATAAGTAGATAGATGGATAGATAGATAGATAGATAGATAGATAGATAGATAGATAGAACAGACTGAGAAGGATAGACATGAAAGGGTTGAAAAAACGAAAGGAAAGGAAAAAGAAAGAAATAATGATAGAGAGGAAGAAAGTTGTTAGATAGACATATAAATACAAGAAAAATGAGATTAAACAGGGAAATAGATAGATAGATAGATTGATTGATAGATAGGAAAAGAATAAGATAGATATATAAGAATAGCAGAAGATAGATAAATAGATAGGTAAGAATAGAGAATAAGATAGAAGAATAGATAGGAATAGAATAAAATAGATAGATACATAAGAAAAGAATAAAATAGATAGATAGATAGATAGATAGATAGATAAGAATAGAATAAGATAGGATAGATAGATAGATAGATAGGAATAGAATTCGATTAGAATAGAATAAGATAGATAGATAGATAGATAAGAATAGAATAAGATAGATAGATAGATAGATAGATAGATAGATAGATAGATAGATAGGAATAGAATTCGATTAGAATAGAATAAGATAGATAGATAGATAGATAGATAGATAGATAGATAGGAATAGAATTCGATTAGAATAGAATAAGATAGATAGATTCAGTCATTCATGTTTCCATCCATCTCCCCATCGATTATATTTTATTTTTATTTTGCATGTAATTATTTCCTCTTTAACCCCGTCGTTCACTCTCGATGATTGTTGTCAAATGTGAATCATTGGCCTCTCCTGTAATTTAAAGATTGTAATTACGTACTTCTATCCTTGCAACCTGACATCTTTATGACGTGTCTTGAATGGCAAAGGAGTTGGCCGTAAGCATTTTACCCCGAAAGCAATGGTGGCCATGAACCGATGTTAACAATAAAGGTTTTATGAAGCTCAATATATGAACGATCACTCTTTATTAAACAAACGGCAGCTGAAAGAATGGCAGACAAAATAATATGTCAAAACCAGTGTTGCACGAAAAACAATTCATAGAAGACTGTAGTGTTTAAGAGTGAAAATTTGCTTTGACCTGATGTTAGGGGATACAAACTGACTGATATAGGTAGAAACAGAATTGGATAGATAGATAGATAATGAACCAACTGAAAAGATGAGTCACTAGTTAATTGGCTGAATAATTAGATAGATAGACCGACAGACAAATAAGAATAGACTGAGATAGATAGACAAATCGATAGATCGATAAATAGATAGTTAGATATGAACAAATTGAGATAGATAGATAGATAGATAAATAGATAGATAGATAAATAGATAGATAGATATGACCAGAAAGGAAAACATGGCAGTCTAATTAGATGGCTAAATAGATCCATAGTCCAACGGACAAAGATGAACAGACTGAGATAGATAGATAGATAGATAGATAGATAGATAGATAGATAGATAGATAATGAACCAACTGAAAAGATGAATCTCTAGTTAATTACCTGAATAATTTGATAGTTAGACCAACAGACAAATATGAACATACTGAGATAGATAAACAATCGATCGATCGATAAACAGTTAGATATGAACAGATTGAGATAGGTAGGTAGATAGATAGATAGATAGATAGATAATGAACCAACTGAAAAGATGAGTCACTAGTTAATTGGCTGAATAATTAGATAGATAGACCGACAAACAAATAAGAACAGTTTGAGATAGATAGACAAATCGATAGATCGATAAATAGATAGTTAGATATGAACAAATTGAGATAGATAGATAGATAGATAGATAGATAGATAGATAGATAGATAGATATGAACAAATTGAGATAGATAGATAGATAGATAGATAGATAGATAGATAGATAGATAGATGTGACCCAACTGAAAACATGGCTATCTAATTAGATGGATAAATAGTTCAATAGTCCAAAGGACAAAGATGAACGGACTGAGATAGATAGATAGATAGATAGATAGATAGATAGATAATGAACTGACTGAATTAGATAGATACAAGCCGACTGAGATTATTCAACCAAGCCAGGGTGATAACGCCACTGAGACGCAAGAGCAGCTACTGGAAGTGAAACAGAAGGAAAAGACTTTCAAATGAACCGGAAGTCAGTAATTCTAAGAATTTCAGAATTTAGGCAGAAACGTTAGAAGAGTTGAAGTAGAATTTAAAAGGAACCAGAGACAGAATGCTAAAAACATATAAAACTCTATTCTTAATCAACAGGCCGGAGAGGAGTGTGAACCAGACGATAGGCGAACCCATCTACTCCTAATCAGAGGAATAAATCCATACCAACCCGTTGAAATATATTCGAATTAGGATACGGATTTTTTTTTCTCAAAATGTCATCCTGCCCATTTGTCATAATACCAACTATTTCGATGATCGGTTCCTGCTATTATTTTTTTTTCAAAGTCACGTTGAAACGGGGAGAGATTTCAAAACGTTGTCAAAGAGTTAAAGTTAAGTGGTATTTGCAGATTGTTCTGAAGTGACGCTAGTATAAATATACGAATATATACATATATATTTGTATATATATTTATATATATTGATTTATATATATATATTTATATATATAATTTATATAATTTATAATTTATATAATTTATATAATTTTATATATATATTATTATTGTTGAAACTTGACTAATGCATGGAATAATAATACAACACAAAATGTACTTAGAACAAAATGTATTGAAACAAGAATGTGTACACAATATTTACATATAGTCTTTTGTATATTCTTGGGAAGACCGTTCCTGGAGAATGTGTTGACTGAGTCGCAGTCGGGCAGAGTCTCTGGATTGAATCTCTTGATTCCTCTCCTCGTCTTCCCGGTACCACCCATATTTATATGATTGGTACTCCACTATGCAAATTAGGTGGATCCTACCACAACAATTATATATATAATTGTATATATATAATTATATATATATTATATAATTTATATAATTTATAATAATAATTTTTATATATATTATATATACATATATATATATATTATATATATATATATATATATATATATATATATATATATATATATATATATATATATATATATATATATATATTTGTGTGTTTTACGCTGTCGCTTCACCTTACATATAGGTGTAAATAAAATTCAAATAATAATTATCTTCATTCATTTTTCACCATGACACTGGACAATAATAAAATATTTTCATGGTGTATTCTTTGGCGGAAATAATACATATGTGTTCAATAACTTCCACGCATCTCCCATCAATTGGTTCATAAATCAAAATATAAAATAAAGAGATCTGAAAGGAAATATGTCCAGAAAGAGGTTAAATATACCTCGCATATATATAAATAATGAAAAGACTGAAATAGATAGATAGACGGATAGATATGAACAGACTGAGATAGATAGAAAGATAGAGAGATAGATAGATAGATAGACAGATAGATAGATTATAATAGATGAACATAGATAGATAGATAGATATGAACAGACTGAATGGATAAATATATTAAGATAGATATTAAGATAGATAGATAGATAGATAGATAGATAGATAGATAGATAGATATTAAGAGAGTGAGATAGATTATAAACATGAACAGACTGTTATAGATATGAACAGACTGTAATGGACAAATATGAAAAGACTGAAATAGATAGATAGATAGATAGATAGATAGATAGATAGATAGATATTAAGCGACTGAGATAGATAGATAGATACATAGATAGATAGATAGATAGATATAAACAGACTGAGATAGATAGATAGATAGATAGATAGATAGATAGATAGATAGATATTAACACAGTGAAATAGATGGATAGATAGATATGAAGAGAGTAAAATATATTCATAGATAGATAGAGGGATATGGATATGTACAGATAGACAGATATGTACAAATTGAGACAGTTAGTCAGATAGATAGATAGATAGATAGATAGATAGATAGATAAAAACAGACAGATAGATTATAAACATGAACAGACTGTAATAGACAGATATGAACAGACTGAAATAGGTAGATGGGCCGACTGAGATAGATAGATAGATAGATAGATAGATAGATAGATAGATAGATAGATAGATATGAACAAATGCACAGATATGAACAGATTGAGACAGAAATGTACAGATTGAGACAAACAGACGTATATACATACATACATACATACATACAGACAGACAGACAGACAGATAGATAAATAGATATTAATAGACTGAGATAGATAGATTGATATATATGAACAGACTGTAATAGATATGAAAAGACTGAAATAGATAGATAGATATGAACAGTTTGACAGACATGAACTGATTGAGACAAATAGATAGATATGAACAGATAGATATTAATAAATTGAGACAGACAGACAGATAGATAGATAGATAGATAGATAGATAGATAGATAGATATTAACAAACTGAGATAGATACGAACAGAATGAAATATATCGATTGTTTTGATTGATACGTGGCGATTTGTCTATTCACAGATGATTGCTGTCTAATCTCCACGCGTATCATGCACTCTGTTTCCGTGGCTCCTCGAAGGACCTTTCCGCCATGTTGCATACCTGTATAGTTTGGTCAGCCTGAAAGATGTTATTATTGGCAATGCCATATGGCTTTTGAGTCCAGGCGCCCACTCTAGCAGTCTCTCATTTTTCATCCCTGACGCCTGCACAACACATTTAAGAAGGTGTTGTTTGAGACTCTGCAGTGCCTTAGAAAAGATCGAAAGCACTTTGTTACAAAAAAACTACGGCGCCTTCCTTAATGAATTTCATGTTAATATCGAGAATCTGATTAGACAGTTGGAAAGGATCAGTATAAAAACAAATATTTTGAAATGCCAAGGTTTGCAGTAATAGTTTTCTTGTTTTTACTAATCATTTCATAAAAAATTTTCTCGACAACCATACTCAGTTACTGCCCCTTAAATGGTGTCTCCGGTCACGCACTGACAAACAATACCTGATGATGACATTTTGTTATGTCAAAAGTACTCGAAATAAAAGAAATATGTATCAACACGGCGATTTTATCTCGCCCTTCAATGAGGACACCAACAAGCTTATCCGTGAATATGAAAGGATCCAACTGAAAATAAGTAGACAGGACATGTCTAAATTATTCAAGGAATCATGTCTCAGTATATATATATATATATATATATATATATATGAAGAAAAATATAGAAAAAACAAACAAAAACCTTAATATGCAATTATGCTGTATTAACGTTAATATAAAGTCGACGTCGGACGTTTCGGTCTATTTAAGACCATCTTCATGGACATAATTGCATATTAAGATTTTTGTTTGTTTTTTCTGTATTTTCTTCATACTGTCGGATCTATATCCATATATTTGCTTATATATATATATATATATATATATATATATATATATATATATATATAGCGAGTTTTCCCTGACGATCCGCTCAGGTGAAACCTGTGTAGGTTTGTCTGGCTCACTACGTTTATCTAGGTCTGCTCTACGGTTGTATTGAGCGCTTTTGTTAGTTAGTTGTTTACTCGAATCGGGTTTTTTTCTTTGAACTTCAGACCTGCATCTGTGCGATTTTTGTCGGCAGAAGTTCATGTTTGTAGCTCTTTCTTTTTTAAAAATTTTTTTTCCCTCGAGATTGATTTGATTAGCAAATCAAAAATTCGAGGGTTTTTTCAAAACGAGTATATATATATATATATATATATATATATATATATATATATATATATATATATATATATATAGTGTATTGAGACAGCAGATCATTATTCAAATACAGGGTGTCCATAAAGTTCGTGTGCACTTTAAAAACTTTTATAACTTTATTTGTATTTTCGATAGAAATAATCTGTAAAAAAATGTTATAAAGTTTAATGCTCCAAGTTTTAAGTATAGCTAAAATAACTAATGTGATTTCAAGCATTACTGTAAATCAGTTGGCAAATATTTTTCGTGGACTGCAATCGTATTACACTTTGTATTGCTAATGATGGAGGACATGTGGAAACTTAAATAAAATTTCAATAAAACCTTGAAAAATATAGATGTACTTCTTTCTAATCCCTTTTACAAATTATTTCTATCGCAAATACAAATAAAGTCATAAATTTTTTAAAATGCACACGAACTTTATGGACAGCCTGTATATATATATATATATATATATATATTTTCTTGTCTAGTTTTGATCCTGTTTATTACTTATATGATGAGAAAGATGAACATGAAAACTATTTCCTCCATTTCTAAATCAACCTTGTTTCAACCTTGGGGATTTCATCCACTGATACTTTTTCTTTCATCAACACGGATCAAACACAATCAAATCTGACCTGATGGAGCTGAACAGAAATTATTTGCCAGTTGAACATTTACCAATTTTGATTTGGAAATGTCAACAATATCTCTCAGCTATGCTACATCTTCTGACAGTCAAATTAGAGACCTTAGGTGAGTTGTATTCCCCACTTTCCACAATATCTTCCCAATACATTTGTGATGGCAAGGTTAAAAAAAAAATGACAGGTGAATGATTGTTTCAGTGTGCTGAAGTGGCGAACATGTTAGCTATCACAGATCAGAGAAAGTTTCACCCTTTCTAAACAAGGTCCAAAGTAGTTGTTTAAACCAAAGTTTTATTAGAAGGAATGCATCAAGTTTTAGGCAGGTGGTGGTTGGGGGGGTTATTGCAAAAAAACATTAGGAGTTTTAAAGAAACATGCAGTTTTTACTTGGAGGGATGGAGAGAGTGAAAAGGAGGTGTGACTGATGCAAGAGTGAGACAACGAGTGAATAAAAAGGAGAGAGTTTAAGAAAGAGAGTGAAGCTTTTTAAACCACAGATAAAAGTCGGACATTACTCCTGTGTTAAACTAGAGACAAAAAAGAAAATAGAACAAGTAAGAGGAAACAAATTGGAGAGTAAGAAAGACAGAGGAAAAGGATGAAGAGTTAGAAAAAGAGGGTTAGACAGAACTAGAAAAAAGAAAAGGGAAGAAAGTTGAGAGAGTGGGAAGAAAGAGTGTAAGAAGGAATAAATTGAGAGGGAAAAGGAAAGAAACAGTAAGAGAGGCAAGGAAAAGAAATATGGTAAGAAAAAGAAAAAAGGTTTGAGGAAGATTAGAATAAGAAAGAGTAAGAAAAGAAATGCGGCAAGAAGGTCAAAAGAGAGACATGAGAAACAAAGTCCAAAGTAGATGTTTAAACCAAAGTTTTATTAGAAGGAATGCATCAAGTTTTAGGTGAGAGGCGTTATTGTAAAAAACATTAGGAGTTTTAAAGAAACATGCAGTTTTTACTTGGAGGGACGGAGAGAGTAAAAAGATGTGACTGATGCAAATGTGAGACAACGAATGTCTATTATGTTTGATCATGAGCCGTTCTAAGCTTCGTATAGTGGCTTTAATTTCAGGCGAAAATGAAGACAGAAACATTTAGATATTTTTATTATGATGTTCTCGATCTTCAGAGTGGTTTTGTGGACAATTAAGCAAAGATATTCGCAATCAAAGATGATATTCAGTTATGTCGACACCGAGGATAGGATTGTCGGCCTTGTGCCACATGCAACCCTCGTGGGAGGGTGGCTAGATATCGAGGATAGGATTGCTATACGACGATAACAGAATAGGAAACGCATGTTGGAAATTCGTGATGCGGCTATATGACGTCACATCACGTGAGAGAACAAAATATTAACAACAGAACCACATGTCAAGATGCAATGTAAATGAGAAAGCATTACCTCGAACCATCGCCAGTGAAACACGCTTCAAGAGCCACTCCGTTTCGTGAGGCTCGTCCCTTAATCGAAACGCCATCCCGCCAACCTTCTGAAGGAACGCCATCGAACGAGGGCCAATAACCCCAGATGTAATATATTGTGACTAATCTGAAGATGGCTCATGTGAGTCGAGAGCTTAGGTCAAGGAACAGCATAATAAAAAAATATCCAAATATTGAACAGTTCTTGTCTTTATTTTCTCCCGAAGCCAATATATGAAGATTAGAACGGCTCATGATCAAACGTAATAGACATTCGTTGTCTGTTATATTTAACAATATATATATATATATATATATATATATATATATATATATATATATATATATATATATATAAGTTATAAAAGAACTTGGTAAACCGAATTAGTAAATCCAAGGAAGATGAAATCCTGAGAGCTCAATGTGAAGCACAGAGCTAATATTTAAAGAAAAACCTTGAAGTGGTCTGTTTTTCTTTATATATATATATATATATATATATATATATATATATATATAGAAAGAGAGAGAGAGAGAGAGAGAGAGAGAGAGAGTAAATAAAGAATGGGTAGAGAGGGTGACAAAAGAAACATATCAGATACATGGTTGGTGGCTTGATATTAAGAGATATGCTGGTGGTAGGGAGTATTCGGTTTATGCCTTTCTGTTTTAGCATACCTACGGACGATAATGGATATGGACCCATTGACATAAATATAGTAGTAAATACTCTATATTAGTCTGTAGTTGAAGATTCGTCTCCAGCTGTGCTGGTCAAACTCTCTGCCTCCGGGCAGATCCCCAAACGCGGCTATGTCGAAGGGCAGAGTCTCGTCTCGGGAAACAGCTATCCGACCCCGTTTTATACGGGGTCCACGGGGAATGTTTGACCGATCTTACAGTCTCCGATACCCCCCATTAAATTCGGCCTTGTGTCACATCTAACCGCGTGGGTTGGTTGGTAGTTACTCTGAAGTTGGAGATTCATTGTGGAATTCACTTGACTCATTACTTGCAGTTGACTATTTCTTCTACGCGCCGCTGGCGAATCTTATACGTATTGTTCGTGTCCTAAGTATTATCGTTCATTACCAACCTTCGTTTGATTATTCTATTCAGTAGATTTCCTTAGGTTACAACATTTTCCTCCCTCTGTCTTTTTTACAAATACTTTCACGGTAACTGCTCCGATGAGCTGCTTTCGCTGGTTCCCAGACTTTATGAATTTAAGCCTTCTACTAAGCTGTCATCTCGCTCTCACCCTTTCACTGTCAAAACTGTTAAATGTAGCCGTCTCTTCTACTCCAATAGCTTCATGTCTCGCACCTCACGCTTGTAGAACTCCCTGCCCTTTTCTTGTTTCCCTGATAGCTATAATCTCCAACTATTCAAATGTAATGTCAATAGACGTCTCCAGATGCCTTGATCTATCCCCTATCCTTCTCTTCATCCTTTTCTCTATCACTCCTATTTGCTCTCGCTCCAACTCTCTGTAACCCCTTGCGTCTTAGTGGCTTCCCGCCTTGCTTGGGGTGAAACGTTTTGAAAAAAAAAGAAAGAAGTAATGTGTAAAATGAATACAGATTGGTTAAACCGGGATTTGAACTCGGCTCGCCGTATACATTTTCCGATTTGTTAACCATCTAGCCCCCTTAAACGGTTCATTGCAGCAGACATGTGAGCATTTAAAATCCTAGCTTGAACACGATCGACATTGGGAAATCCATAATCGTAAGTACATGTTGCTTTTATTAAACCGAACTTATTCCTGTAAATGGTCACGGAATGTGTCAGCCATTGAGAATCGAGCTCGGTGATAGCGTGAATTAAATTCTGATACATCTTCGCAATCTAGCCGCAATGAAAGTCTCATAAGTAAATTTTGATGAAATGGATGCCATAAGTATGGAAGACACTCCCAGCAAGTATATGCAAGAATAATATAATTGTAGCAAGACGTAATCATAACTTTAGAGTTTAGTTCATAGTCAACGCCCTTAGTGCATCTCTATTAGAATTACGACCTTCATAACCGTTACATTGCTGTTACATTTATATCTGTATTTTATTTATGTTGATATATTTTTTCTCTTTATAGAATTTATAGTTTTATACAATTTTAATTTACATTAATAGAATTCGTTTTTATTTTAATAGACATTATTTTCATTTTTATATATTTTTAATAATACAGGGATTTTTAATTAATTTATAGAAGTTTTAATTTAATTTAATTTTCAGTTATTTTATAGATTTTTCTTTGTTTATTTTTATAAAAAATTATAAAATTTTATAAATACTTTTTTACATTTACAAATAATCTTTATTATTAAAGAAATTATTTATTTATGTTTTATATAATTTTTTATTTTTATAGCAATTTTCTTCATTTATTTTTAGAAAATTTATCGAAATGTTTTTACTTTTACAGAAAATTTAATTTAATATTATAGAAATATTTATTTATTTTGTAGAAAAAATTTAGTTGCTTCTATAGAATTATTCATTTATTTTTATAGAATTTAATAGATTCTTATAGAAACTGTTTTTTAATTACCACAGATATTTTTATTTATTATTATTATTTAATTTTTATAGAAAAGTTTTGTTTGCTTTTATATTTATAGAATTTTTATTTACTTATAGAGAAAATTGATATCTATTTTTACAGAATTTATTTTATCTTTATATAAACATTTATTTGCTTGTATAGAAGCTTATCTAAATATTTATTTTTATAAAGAAATAAATTTATAGCATTTTCATTTATTTATATAGAAATATCTTATTTTTTACACTCATTTTTAATGTATTTTTCATAAAAAAATTATTAATCTTTATAATAATTTTTTGGTTTTATAGAATTTTCTTATTTATTTTTATAGAAGTGTTTTATTTATTTTGTTATAAAAGATTATAAATTTTTATAAAAAAATAATTTTACAGAAATCCTTTTCATTTACTTTATAGAAGTTTTCATTGAATTTAATGGAATATTTTTATTTACTTTTATAGAATTTTTTTCTCGTTATAGAAAATTTTGCTGTTTATTTTTATAGAAAATTAAAAAAAAAACATTTTTACTTCAAACGTATATATTTATAATGAATTTTTTTATAGATTATTCATCTGTTATATAGAAATATCTTTTTTTCTTTTAAACGCATTTTAAATTTATATTTCATAGAAAATATTTATTCATCTTTATAGTATTTTTCTTCGGTTTTATAGAATTTTCTTATTTATTTTTATGGAAATATTTCACTTATTTTGTTAGAAAAAATTATGGATTTTATTTTAAAAATTTATTTAATTTTATAGTAATCCTTTTCATGTATTTTATAGAAGTTTTCATTGAATTTTATAGAATATTTTATTTACTTTTATAGAATTTTATTTCTTGTTATAGGAATTTCTTTCGGCGTTTTTAATAGAAAATTTAAAAAATTATTTCAAGTTCATATATTTATAAAGAAATAAATTTATAGAATTTTTCATTTATTTTTATAGAAATATCTTATATTCTTTTACACACCTTTTAAATTTATTTTTTTATAGAAAATTTCTTTTTATCTTTATTGTAATTTTTTGGTTTTATAGAAGTTTCTTATTTATTTTATGGAAATTTTTTATTTATTTTGTTAAAATAATTATGGATTTTTATTAAAACAATATTGAATTTTACAGAAATGTGTTCACTTATTTTATAGAAGATTTCATTGAATTTAATCGAATATTTGTATTTACTTTTATAGAATTTTTTTCTTATAGATGTTTTTTTCGGATTTTGTAATAAAATTTTTTAAAAAGACGTTTAATTTCCAACTCTAGTTTGTCATCTTCTGATCTGGTAAATGATCTGGGGAAAATAGACAAACTATTTCCTCCTCCATTTTGTCTCATCTCAAGACATTTTTGAAAATATAACACGGTATGCACGAAGCTTCAGAATGAGTGTAATGATTTTATAAGCTCTTGGGTAATCCTCTTCCTCAGGCAGTAAAAAAAATGGTTGTTTCCTACTGCCAACATTTTAAAAGACCAATCAGTAAGCTAAATTTTTGTTCAGGGACAAAATAAGTGGTCACCCGATTAGTATTGATCCGACGACACTAGTAATGAACAGTAACAATAAAAATCTAACTTGCATTCACACTATTTATATTCTTACTATCAGCTTCATTTTTGCTACATTATTTACATTATTCGGACTATTGTCCTTATCTTTGTCGCCATATTAATTACAACGTTTCGACCGTCGTACGCTCCGGCCTTCTTCAGTTGGTTGGAAAGCCGAACTGAACCCTTTATTTCGCTCACTGGGGTAGACTGTTCTAGTTCTACGTGTCATGTTTAATGGATGCCAGTTATCAGTTATCTCCTGTTAATTTTCTCTCTGAAAGTTCTCCACTGCCTTAACCGGGTATTGAACTCACACTCTTTGGGTCCTTCCACTGGATCTAACAAACGCCTTTATCCACTGTGCCATGTGTTCTTGAAAAGATAACTGATAACTGACATCCATTAAACATGGCACGTGGAACTAGAACAGTCTACCCCAGTGAGCGAAATAAAAGGTTCAGTTCGACATTCCAACCACCTGAAGAAGGCCGGAGCGTACATTGCCCGAAACGTTGTAATAAATATGGCGACAAAGATGAGGACAATAGTCCGAATAATATAAATAATGTACAAAATACCCCATCTTAGAAATATAGACAGATTCATTTTTGCTGTTGTTATCAGAACATTTCAGTCATTCATCCCACCGGCCTTCCTCGGGTATATATCGATTTGGCTAACCTGCAGGGAATTTCGAACTGAATCATTTATTTAATCTCCGGGGCTGGACTGTTCTCGATTCAGTGTCCATGTCTATGGATAGCCAAGTGGACTGAAGCATTGGTTCGAGAATTTGGGGCTTAATAATTGTGAGTTCAATCCCTGGTCCGGTCATGTGTAGTTGGAAACTGAGTGGGCCATAACTGAGCAGTACTAAAAATAAGAACTAAATGAGATATCCCTAGACATGGACAGTAGAACGAGAACAGTCTACCACCGTAGATTAAAAAAGAGGGTGCAGTTCGGAATTCACTGTAAGTTAACCCGATCGATATACACCTGATGAAGGGCGGACGACACAACGCTCGAAACGTTGTAATAACAACAACAAAGCATTATTAAAACATCCCTATAACAAAATAAAACTACACATAATGCACACACCCAATTATGCTAAACAAATCGAATCATCCCTGATAATGGCTAAAGGCATAGCCGAAAGCGCTTGGAAATATAAAACATTTGGACAGTTCTTACACACCCTTTGTCCAGAAAAGAAAGCTCTTCTCAGAACACAAGAAAAATTAAATAAAAAGCTTAACCGTAGTATCTTGTCTGTCGTTTTTAGTGAAACATGCATAAACGAAGGATTGCTTCCTAAATATACAATTATATATATATATATATATATATATATATATATATATATATATATATATATATATTCACTTCCACCCACATGTTTTTAGAAGTACTCAAAGAATATATAGCTCATTGCCTGAAATACGAGAAATGAACATGGTGTAAATTCAGTATTGTCTTAACGTAGAATCAGTTTTCTGCATTTGTCTCATTTAAATTTTACTTTAGGATTCAAGTTACAAGCAGAATGAAAAAAACACACGCCATATTGGAGGAGCAGGAAGAGAGAATGTCGGTGGAGAAGCGCTGCCCACTGCTTGCCGAATTTAACCAGAATGAGATCTGCAATGAAAAGTAAAAATACTTTCTTTCATTAGACTAAACAGAAATCACCACTCCCTTTACATCAACACTCTCCTCTACTCATACAGTAATCACTTCTAGTAAGCAGCAACTGTTTAAAATTGACATGAAGTCTTCTTGCTTCGTCCACAGGGAAAGAAAGGATTCTGGGAAAGACAGAAAATACCGGAATTAGAAAAAAAAAATTAAAAGGAGTGTCTTTATTGGTCAGAACTTCCATAGCTATTTTGTGTGCAAGATTTGTAGCAATTTTTTATTTTTTTTTGTTATTCAAAAGGAATTTATCACTCAACACTTTTTTTTTCCCCCGCCTTTCTCTATAATAGGGGTCGTCTGTTCCCGAAGTCCAAACGCCATTTTGTTTTTCCCTCTAATTTTATTTTCTATTAATTTAATTCCTTTGTTGTTTTTTATTGCTCTTTGTGTAATATATTTCTTTATCAACAGGTTATTTTTATTCATTGTCTCATCTGAAACTTTTAATTTCGACCTAATTGCATTTATTGGAATATTTTTTACTTACTACGTTAGGTTGTAAATCTCAAGTAAACGTATTTATTACATACTTTATAAGTAGGATTTTAAAAATGTTAGTTTACACACACACACACACACACACACACACGTATATATATATATATATATATATATATATATATATATACAAATGAAGCAAAAGAACAAACAGTTTTAGAATCTACAGTTCTTTAGCATTTACATTTAAAAAAAGTGCTCAATACAGCGTAGAGCATAATATTTTTAATGATATTTTATTTAAATGCATTTTACATTGCGACACAGAAAGTTTAAGCCACGAAAGATACACACACACACACACACACACACACATTACTCTACAACACACACACACACACACACACACACACACACATATATATATATATATATATATATATATATATATATATATATATATATATATATATATATATATATATATTGTAGAGTAAATGACATTATATTTTCCTTTTTCTCGATAGCTTGGGGGTAGAATCTCTGACTGATGCCAAATTGGTTGAGTTTCGATCCCGGCTTGAAACAATCGGATGTCTAGCCACACTGATGAGCTGTGATACAGCGAACAGCGAAACATTGATGGTATATATATGTTTTTATAGTTATAACTTTATCTAAATTAAAACGCATATATATATATATATATATATATATATATATATATATATATATATATGCGTTTTTTAATTTAGATAAAGTTAAAACTGTACATTCTAGGAATATTCGGAAAACTTTCACTCAATTCTACTTCGACACCTAATGCCAGAGAAGCCAATTTCTTATAAATCAACGAATAAGGAAGTGTGATCCCGACATTCATGGAATTGTTACAAATAGCGTGAATTTAAGTTTAGTACGGACTTTTAGAACGTCCCGTTGTTAAAAAAAAATCCATTAAAATTATTAGCCAAACCTGATAACACTCAAACAACATATTTCCAGGATTTTTTTGTGAATTTATAGCTCATTGGCTGAAATAAGAGAAATGAACACGGTGTAAATACAGAAATTCATATAGAAAATCCGGAAGTTGTAAGTCATAAAAAAATATTTGATTAACTCAATATTCATAATCCCGGAGCAAATTATTTTATTAATTTCCATGTTAATATGGACTACTTAACATTTTTAAACAAGCCATTCTTTTAATCACTGATTTCCACTTCAAATCCAGGATCGCCGATTTGATTTCAAACTACTAACAATCAGTATGAACGGAGGTCTTCTCCGGGAAGCGTCGTGCCTTGAAAGACTGTTCTAATACTCACACTATCCTCAAGTGGAACTCATGCATACGATCTGTCGCTAAGAATGGTCGGCTCTATGGATAACCGTTGTCATTTTTGGGTGGGAGCTGCCCAGACGTCACGGAGTAAAAACTGGTTGATTACATTGAATCGAAGACCAAGCTAGGTACATTCCATTATCGCCGATCTGACCGTGACTTACTAATTAGGATGAATGGAGGTCTTCTCGGGGAAGCACGGTGCCTTGAAAGACTGTTGGGCCTCAAACTCACATCTGACCTCATACATACAATCCATTGCTAAGGATGCATGTAAAATGGTCAGCTCTATTTACCTGACCCCTTCTGCTAAGCTCTACTTTTACAAGAGCCAGATCAGGCCAAAAATGTTGTACTGTTGTCATATTCGGGTGGGAGCTGCCCAGGCCTCACTCCAGCCTTGATAGAGTTCAAAAGCATCCTTTGTGGGGGATGAATTATTTTCTACCCTTCTACTTCTCTCCCACAGGCGGGATGTGGCATGCCCTCTCACTGCTCTACCGCTATTTGCACAGAAAGTGCTCAGATGAGCTACATTCACTGGTCCCGGCGAAGCAAACCTTCACATCAGGAATACGTCATACAGCTTACATAGTAGCAAATCATCCACAATCCTTCTGTATTCCATCAGTGAGAAGAAAGTTCAACTCGAGCATCTTCCTGTTAACCACCGCCCTGTGGAACCGGCTCCCAACAGGTTATTTCCACGATCACTACAATCTTAGACCTCTTCAAGGCTGGGGTAAACCGTTATCTTCCACTCTTATACACACAATTTGACCTCCACACGTAGCCCTCTTTTTGTTCCCATATACTTCACTAAAGTTTTGTACTGGTTTAATAGCTGCAGAGCTTGAGTAAATGCATGCCATTAATTGTACTTCTGATACACACGAATAAAAAATAAACTTGTATTTGGTTGGTTAATTCAATGTACGTTTTAGTGTAATGGATATCGGCTCGGAGTGCCGAGTTCGAATCCCAGTCGAATTCGTTATATTCACTTACATACAAATAATATTGGGAAAGTTATGAATCCCTCTCTTCTCCTAGCTATAGGTTAAATAACAGTACAGACTGGGTCCTATAGCTGTTATGGTCCAGGTTAGGACCAAGGAATTACAACACGAACACAAGAGTAGAAATAACGAAGGTATATTACACGAAATAATAATACAAGATGTGGAAGTATGACTGTCAGTCTGGTTTGGAGTGAACTACTATCGGCTCCGCTCGATTCGTCCCTCTCTCTTGAGAGGCGTAGTATACATAGTGTTAGGAAGAGTTCATTCTGTAGTTATAGGTAAGGACCCATGGCAATAGCCTTTTTTGGCTACCAGTCTATCGCAGTAAGAAATGGCAACCTACTGCGGGAAAAAATCTTCTGCCTCGTCAGTCATGTATCAAAGATACATGGTCGCCCAAGCGTGTATCACGTGTGGCACTTAACTGACTGACTGAATTCAACCACGCCTAAAACCTGTGGAGTTATCAAACATAAATTTATGCTCGAGTCTGTACGCTAACATTGGATGGGCAAATACATGAGTTTGCAAGCATTCAATCTGAATGTTGCTCATATTGCGAGATTTACGCCTCAGCTGACGATGTGGCTGTCGTATTCAATATTGCACCGATAGGGAAGTCTTGAGATAAGCGTATCTACTTCACTGGCAGTCGTGATTTGCATCAGTTAATTTATGTCGAGTTATTCTTTTGTTTGATCCGTCTACCCAGGATTTTATTTTGTTTTTATCTGAGTGAGTTCAACCATTTAGTAACAGCAACACATCTTTTAAGTGAAACGTAAAAAAACGTTATTTTCTGAATGGGAATTAGAAACCGAAAATTAGATTAAAATAACATTTATATATTCTTTTCAGGAAAATACGATCCCAGTAAAATGTTCAATTTCCCTTTCAATGATGTTTATTTTATCAAGTAATTAGGACTTCGTGGTATGATGTAAAATGTCTGAAGAGATTTACTTTATAATAGTTAGCTTAATGTGTTTGAGAGTTAGTAGACAAAGGTTTAGTAAGCAGTTACTAGTTAATCCCTTTTATTGCGTGCGTGGACAAGGCCTTAGTCTGCTGGTTGTCTCTCTTCCATTGTGTGCGTGTGTGTGTACGCACATGTGGATCAAACTGGCCCCGGAAATTGTTGTGTGCGTTGAGTAGCAGTTTATAGTATTCTTCTATTTTTATATCCGTAAGGGATATCAAAAGCTAATTTTGCATAGAGGTGTGAACGTTTTGAATACACGGTTGTCATTGGTTAGAAAATAAGTCCACACTGGTTCATGAAAATCTTTTTCTCCAATTTGCGAATAGAGTTATTATTATTTTCTAAGTTGTCCAAATATAACACGTGTAGGTTTTACAACTACGTCCGTGAGTATTTTAGTAGTATTTGCCTTAATAAAGTTGCCCAAAGTTATTAGAAGAAACAGTTGCCATTATATTTTACAGTTGAAATATCTAGATGTATATATACGTCAAAATCGTGAAAAGGGTTAATTCTTATTTTTTTTTGTTGTTCTCTCTCCTTAATAATGTTTTTCTTTCTTCATATTCTTTCACACTCATTGACACCAAACATCTTAGTAGCTTTATTGCTCTGGTCGCGACAAAATGTATTTTTTAAAAAAAAAACATGATTTTATCCAGATGTGATTGCCTGATATTCATACTCGTCGGAATGAGTCTTCCGTATTTATGAATGTATTATAATTCAATTGAATATTGCCTGTCACATCTGGTCTGGTGTTTCTCTGCAGTTTTCAGACCTGACCGGGTACCTCGGTTTCAATAACTTTCCCACTGCGTAATCTAGCTTCCCTGTACCTTTCATGGTAATTGTTCGAATGAACTCTTCATTCTGGTACTTAGACTATTTTTAAAATGTAGGCACATTACCAGACTGGCATCGAGATATCATCATTTTACAGTTGAGTTGACCAGTGTCTGTTTTCGGTGAAAACGTATATACACGTTTACGCGGGAAAAGGAGTTAGTTTCTCTTTTTCTTTTTTTTTTTTTTTTGTTCTCTCTCTTTAATAATATTCTTTTCTCATATTCTTTCAGTCTTATCAACAGCAGGCATTTTAGCCGTTTTATTGCATCAGTCGCGGCAAAATTATTAAAGAAAAAAGATGATTTAGTCCTGATGTGTATTGCTTGATATTCATTTTCGTCATAATGAGTCTTCCGTATTTATAAATGTATTATAATTCAATGAATTGAATATTGCCTGTCACATCTGGTCTGGTGTTTCTCTGATGTAGCTAGCGATTCTAGACAGAATCCAAAGAAAAATCTTGTT